GACAAATTTGTCAAACCTAGTATTAGCGGTAAACGGAAACGTGCAGAATTAAAAATCGCTGCATATATTGCTGAACATTGTTCAGTCAATGCTGTTGACCATTTAGGAAAAGTAATCGGTGATTTAGACCCTGAATCTGAAATTCTATCCAAAATAAAGCTCCATCGGACAAAATGTACAGGACTTATAGTCAATGTCCTTTCACCATGCATGCTACACGATTTAATAGATGACGTAAATCATTCTTATTTTTCGCTTATAATAGATGAAAGTACTTTGATCGACACTACAAAAGTTATGTGTGTTATGATTAGATATTTTAGTAAAAAATTTAGAAAAACACGAACAACATTTTACCGATTAATTCAATTAGAAAATGGAACGGCAGAACATATGACTACATGTTTCATCAACCAATTAAATGAAGATGGCTTAAACATCGATAAATTGGTAGGCATTGGAGTTGATGGAGCAAACAGTATGATAGGACCACATAATTCTCTTAGCTCTAGGGTGCTTGCATTAGTTCCACATTTAATAGTTGTGCAATGTCTTTGTCACTCGTTACACTTGGCAGCCGAAAATGCATGTAGTAGTTTACCTAGGCATATAGATTACCTAATAGAAACTAGTCATTCGTGGTTCAGCACTAGTGCAAAGAAAACAAACGAATTTGCTGATCTTTTTAAGACAATAAACCAGCGTATGCCAAAAAAAATTCCGAAGCTTTCAGGAACACGATGGTTAGCACGTTTCGAGGCAATCACAATAATAATTGATCAATGGGATAAATATAAATTGCATTTTGAAATGGCAAAAACAAAATACAGAGGCAGCGCTGGATATAAAGCAGAAGAGTTGTATAATATATTTAGAAATAATGAAAATAAATTATATTTAATATTTTTGCGCGACGCATTGAAAGATGTTATTCGCGTGAATAAACTTTTTCAATCTTCTTCAATCGAGCCTTTTAAGCTATTTGCTGATTTGAATACTTTGATGTATTCCGCATTACAGAAAATTGTTGTTCCAGCGCAATTGCATAAGGTAAAAAATCAGGATTTAACAAAGTACGATTTTAAAAACTACACGATGGCAACTGATTGCATTAATTTTGGTTATTATTTTAATGAATTATGTGGAAAACTACAATCTAATCAAAATGAAATAATAAATATTAAAAATAGATGTAAAGAATTTTTAATAAAATTAGCCGAAGAGTTACAAAAAAGGATCCCCAAAAATATGCAGATTTTAGAAAAAATCAGTGCATTTAGTCCACAAAATGCCAAAAATGAAACAAAAATAGATGATATTACTGCAATTGTAGTCGCGTTTGAACGCATTTTAAGTGATATCGATACAACGCTTAACGAATGGTCTTTAATACATCGTGCAGAAATTAATGCGGATACATCAGACGAGTTTTGGAGAGCTATCGATTTAATCGTAGATTCTGCTGGACAAAAAAGGTTTAGCAATATATCCAAGCTAGCCTTAGCACTTCTTACCGTTCCATTCTCTAATGCATCTGTTGAGAGAGCATTTTCTATTGTCAACATAGTTAAAGATAAACTGAGGAATAAACTGGAAGTGAAAACAATAGATGCTATTTTAAGGGTTCGTTTTCTAATGGAAAATAAATGCGATAATTTTGAGCCCACTCCTTTGATGCTGAAGAAATTTGTAAGCGAGGTTGTTTATACTGGTGATATTAGTGACGAGGCATTAAACATAATGGAACATTGTGATAAAATACTGAATTCAAATATGGAGGAATTGTAAAAATTGTTCTGCAGAAAGACTTTCATTTTTCTTGTTAAAAAATGTTTATTTTTTCACGTATTCGTTTATTTCTGTTCCATTATTTAACATTTTATATCTTAAAAACTTTAATAAATTGCTATAAATATTTTGTAGTTAATGTTCATTACTATACCTTATATAACAATAAAGAGCATATCGAATTTTAATTATTTTAATGATTCCACGACAGAAAGCATCTTCATAACTTTAAGCCAATAATAGGAATAAATATTCATATTCCTAAAAATAATATTGAATAGCTAGTAAAAGATTTAGGGGGTAATTTAGGGAGTTTTCATATTCAAGTTAGGGGGATTTAGGGG